TTCTTATTAAGGTCAATCACTTCTATTTTCTCATAGGTATGCTTCCATAAAGCTACTTGGTTCGTAAAATCCAAACACCATATACTAGGAAAATAGGTTGAGTTCTTCTTTCGACTCCAAAATTCAATCTTTGATCAAACGCTCTTCTTCAACAGATGCAGCTAACATTTTTTAACATCAAACCACAAATTGTTTCATAAGAGGATTTGAGTGTGAATCTTGTTCTGACAGATCGGTCTTGTCTTCCAAATACAATCCCTCGGAAAGTTAGGATTTTTGTATGTACTTTCCCAGAGAATTGTGAGCTTTCAACAGCTTCTGATTTAGTATATTCTAAGTCCTTTATCTCCTGTACTTTTGCAACAACCGTTATTACCAACAACATATGAAAGGTGATCTTCTAATCTGCAGACTTGATACACCTTATGCTTTAGTATCAAGCTTGTTAGGATTCACCAGAAACAATTTTACAGAGAATTTGTTCTTGAACAAAACTGATTATTGTGTAAGAATCTTCTCCCATGGCCATTTGTTGTAGTAATCAATAATTACCAAATCAATACTTCTTCTTCACACATTCTTCATTGGTTCCAACACATCAATGTGTATAAGTTTCAATGGTCAACAGTTCAGGATTAATGATTCTTCTCTTCTTATTACTTCAGAAATCCACTATGCCTTTAAGCTTAGGTTCCAAGCTTTGGAACATATGCCTTCCTTTTGGCATGTATCACGAGCAACCAGACTTCAGGTACCAATACTGATGTGGTAGTTACATTGCTAATGATATATGTAACACTGATTATCTGATTCTAGGGGAACCCATGACTTCTTGGGTCCTTTCAGAAAGTGTTTCCAGAATTCTTACGAATATAAGGTTTTTTCAGCCGAGTAACCATGTATGCAAGTATTATCATAAACAGGTTAAGCTAACAGTTTTGCTTTAGATTTAAAATCGTATTTATCCTTTTCTTTTTCTTAATCTTTAGGAACACGCTTCGACAGAGATAGAATAGGAATGTAGAGCACCAGGTTTATTTCCTTTATCAAAAATAGATTCGTCGTAAGAACAATAACCAATATCTTTGGTCCCATTTCTATTTTGTTAAGGATTATAGAAGCCATTAAGCTTCTCATGCTTCTGGCTCAAAGTTTATGAGATACATAGTCATATCACTTAATTACCTTAAGGATAGAGCCTTTATCCTCTTCTAAGTCTGAGTCAGAACATCTTCATCTTTTGGAGGGATCTTCTCATTTGAGATTCCAGCACCAGCCAACAATGTTGAGTTAGCTTCCTCTTCTTCAGCAACGTCTTCTGAGAGATTAGGACCATCTCATATTGTCAACTGATAATCTAACCATTTTATATATGTTTCCATGAGATCTTCTTCCATAGCGGTCAACTCATCTGAACAATAGTGACAACATATCTTCTTTTATATCAGAATCTTCTTATGAAATTCTCGATCACTTTGAGTTGAAGTTGCTTTGGTCTTCTTGGTTCTTCTCACAAAAGTGTTGTTAGATCTTTTGCAAACTTAAGAGTAGTCATTAAAAGTCTTCATCTGGACAATGAGCTTCTGATAACTTTCTTCAAGTAATCTGACAAAGAGTAATCTTAGTTCAGAACCTAGAGTTCTACAACCAAAGTCTTAAAAATTTTGAGAACAACATCTCAACGGTTTCAACATTATTCAACTTTAGATCTTTATTCTACTGAATCAAGGTTAGAGCCTTGGTCTTTTTGACTTAATATAAATCTGCATGAGTATTTTAGAGAGACAAAGTCAAATGTAGAATTGGCATAGTCTCTATTTGAAATCTTCTCATACTTAGTATAAGAAATGACATTTAGCAAACAAGAAGTTCTTGATTTCTAATGATTCTTATAATTCTTCTTGATCATTCAACTTTTCTTTTAGCCTTTTACCAGTGTCACCTAAGCGAGATATGTAGTTATCAACTATCATATTCCAAAAATCAATATCACCGTTTAGGAAGAACTTTCTAGTTCAACTTTCCAATACTCAACCTTTTCACCATCAACGATGGATGAAATGACAATGCAGATGTTTCTAGCATTTGAGACTGAAACGGTATGAAGTGGAGATCAATCACCAAAGTGTTTCTCAAAGCTCATATGGATATTTATCTGACACAATTAAGTGTTTGATAACTATCAATACCAGAACCAGAGCTCTGATACCAATTGAAGAGGGGAGAAACACAAGAAATGGGGGTTTGAATTGGGTTTCACCAAATATGATTTTCTTCTTCAACTTCAAACATCATAGTTAACAAGAATAAAGATAAATAAAACATCATTATTTTTATTCTGGTTCACTGTTAACAAAGTTACTCTAGTCCACATTTCAAGGTGATTTCGCCTTCAAAAAAGACTTAATTCAATAATCTTATAAAATTACAAAAGTTACAACAAGTCTAACCGATCTTGTTACAAAACACAACTTAGACTAACCGTCCTTATTGCAAACCACAATGGATAACCTCCATTTTCTTCTTGAGAATTCTGACTATACCCTAGTCTCTCAAGGAACTATCAACCATTATTGATTACAAATATGTGTATGAGGAGATGCTTCTAGACAAGAAGATTACACAAGTTTAAGTATAATAACAAAAAAGTGTTTATAATACAAAAGAGTTGTCCTTGCGCAACCTTATCTAGGTAGAGGTCACAAAGTACTTTGTACTTTTATATTCATCAAATCACCTAAACCATTCTTAATTTTCTATCTTATAGTTCTTCAGAGGCTTCAGGTGTGTATTTGATGAAACATGCGGTAGAAGGATCAATATGTGTAACTTCTGAACCCAAGTCTTTAGAGTCTCCAGAACTCGTTCAGTAGAACCTTATTTTTGGAGTCTTTAGCACTTGGTCTTTAGAAGTGATGTCTTTAGAAACTTTAGAGCTTATTCAATCAGAACCTTGTCTTTAGGATATTCAAAACTTGTATCAATAAAAATGATGTCTTTAGAACTCGTTCAGTAGAACCTTGTCTTCAGAACTTGGAGCATTTGAAGTACATCTTTAGAGAGACTTTCAAGCTTTCCACACTAAGTCATGATCAGAAACTCTAGTATAACATCCTTCAGAACCGTTGCATTAGAGGCATTCATGAATTATAACATGTAACCAACATACGTTTTCTTCTATAGTGTTGAGTTTCGAGTCTGATTACGTCACACGTATTTCCTTCAAAGTCATGACTTGTTTAGCAAAAGTTACACACTAGATAGAAATCAATAGAGCATAATATTATTCCCTAAAATATCATGTACAATTATCATCAAAACTTCAAGATCAGATGTAGAACAAATCTTGTTCTTGCAGTTTTGGTCAAAAAGTCAATATTAAGATGACTTTGACCAAAACCCTAATTTGGAGCATATAATGAATTGAGACTTGATGAACTTGAATTGATGCAAACTTAAGCTTGATTATTGATAGAGGGAGTCTCTTGATCACTATGCATGAATTGAGGAGCTTTAGATGTTTAGGATCACACTCAACCCTGATTGACCAACCACTTGAACTCCTTGATGCAAAAGCCAAACTTGTAAAGAAAGCATTTTTTGTTTGTAATTTCATGGGATTAGCAATGCATAAGAAGTGAGTGATACTATGAAAATGATGCAAATGAAGGTGGCATATAGGGTTAAAAATTGGGGTATGACAGAGGTCAAAGAAGTTAACAAAAAATTAATTTGAGCAGTCACCAATTTTGGAATAACTTCCTCCACGAGGGAATTTTCTAGTAAAATAGTAGAATTGCTAAATAAATTTTCAAAGTGAGATGTCACATGCTCTGATCATTGATCATGATTGTTGATGAAGACACCGTTAACTTTCAAAGTATGGATGTAATTGGAAGCATTTCTGATTTTAGTTATCCTATGGAAATATTTTGTATTCCTATCCCCGTTTAAGTGCCAATTAACCCTCGCCTCATGCTTCTGAAATAATTCTTTTATACTTAGGGCCTAGTCTGATCTAGTTTGCGCCTGTTTCTCATTATGATATAGAGAATCGTGATGTCCTTCAGAATCAATTCTCTCCTAGATGTTTGCCAACTCATGCTCTGCAATTTTCACAATATCACGCACATTGCCAAAACAAACTTTATTCCACACTTTAAGATTCTCCTTTAAAACTTTCAACTTCGAGGCCATAGGACAACCTCTGAAGTTAGTTTTTTAAGAGGACTCCACCACATTGATGCAATCTTGATGGGTGGTCCATACTTGCAAAATTATGAATGGGGACTTAAATTTAAAATCTTCAAAATTAAAGTGAAATAGAATAAGATAGTGATCAGAACAAGAATTGATAAGCATGGAGCAAGAAGTTTGCACACAAGTATCAATTCAAGCCTTATTACAGATAACCTTATCCGGCCTTTCCCTAGTGTGATGAGGCGCACTTCTACCATTATACCAAGTAAATCTAGCACCTGCTATAGGGATATGAATTAAATGGTTTTGATATGTCCGGGTTGCAAAATCATCCATATGACCCCTAACTAGGCTGAAAGAACCATCATACTCATGAGACCCTAGAATAATGTTGAAATCTCCTATGAAACACCAAGGAATTTTATAATTTTGAAGGGTATTCTGAAGAGAGTTCCACAAGTTCCTTCTAGTAATGTAGTTAGTAGAAGCATAAACAACATATATTCCAATAGAAGAACCATTAACCAAAATAGTAAAAGATATATGTTGATCATCAATATGCAGAATCTCAGGTGTAAGAGTTAAATCACAAAGACACACAAGATTGGGTAAAAGATCGTTCCTTATATTTATAGCAAAGAATTTCATGTTCACTCTATTGAGCCAGAAATAGGGGAAATCCTTATCCATCAAAGGTTATGCAATGAAAACAAACATAGATTTGGAGCTCGACACTAACCTTTTAAGAGCCAATTTTGAAAGAGAGTTGGCTAATCCTCTCGCATTCCAAAATAAAAACTTCACGAGGAATTGTTTGCGTTACCAGGCATTAACCTTGTTGCATACTTACTCCCTACTGCATTCTTTTCTCGTGCTTTCCTTTTGGACTTAGAGTTAACTTGCTTGAAACCTTGTGAGTCAACCCCCAATGAGTTTTCCACTTTGTCTCCAATTCCTTGTGTTTGCCAACTCCTGATGCACCATATTATCATATGAAGAGTTAAGGAACTACATATCCTATCAAAGAACATGATTAGTTTCTGGAACTTCTTCATAAAAATTTCGTTGTGCGTTGTCTATAAAATATGATAGCACTTTCATAGCCGGAGCTTTGATACCAACTGAAAGTAGAAAAACACTTAGAAGGGGGGGGGTTGAATAAGGGGTTTTCAAATAAATATGACAATAGAAAAAACAAGTTATTTTTATCCTGGTTCGTTTGAACTCAAACTACTTTAGTCCACCCGACCAAGGTGATTTCGCCTCTCTCAAACGAGGACTTAATCCACTAAATCAAAACTTGATTACAGTGATTTCCACTAAGACAACTGTCTTAGTCTTCTCGAGAATCCTGACCACAACTTGGTCTCTCAAGGAACTTTTACAAAGAGTAAATTACAAATGTGTTTAAGTTGCTTCTAAAAAGCTATTATCACAACTGTGATTTTTACACAAAATGAAGAACAAATAAAACTTAGTGTTTTATAAAAGTTGTTTTGAATGTTTTCTTTGATTGCTTCTTTGAATTCTTTCTTTCAAAATGTTGTAGCAAATTATTGTCGTTGAAGTGTTGATGAAGACTTCTTTATATACACCATTTTCTCAATAGTGTGTAGAAGAAAGTACTGTAGGATGTAGACAAAAAGGACAAATAATTTTCGTCTTGATTTGACATTCCCTTTTTGCCTGAAATCTTGTGTCATGCACGAATGAGAAATAGTACCGTTGGTAGACCTTGGGTTTAGCAACGTCTCTTTCTTGAACACTTTCTTTTCAAATAAACATATATTAAAATTAATCTTTCATCAGATCCTCTGATGTTGTTCCTTGTTCTTCTTATCAGAGTCACTCTTTTAGAGTCTTGCAGCAAAGTGCTTAGCGTGAATTATGATCAGAGTTGACTTAATTCAGAGCCTCTGCACTTGCAGCGTTTAGTTCTCAGAGTCTTCTGAATATTGAGTCTTTATACTCTGCGCTCAGAGTCTTCTGTAGACAGTGCTTCAGAGTCTTCTGCTTCAGAGTTTTCTTCAGCAAGCGCTTCAGAGTCTTCTGCAGCGTCTCAGAGTCTTCTGCAGTTGCACTTCCTACGCTCAGAGCTTAGCATTATATTGTTTAGAGCTTTGCTTTAAATCATGTTTAGAGGAATTCTTTGTCTTTAGATGAATATTTATTTGATATCTGAAACAAAAACACTTGAACAAAATTAGAGTATATATTTTCTTATACAAAATTTCATTAATGTTATCATCAAAACATTGAGATATATTAAGAACCAATATGTGTTCTAACACCATGAATTAACCTTGTTGCATAATTACTCCTTGCTGCATTCTTTTCCCGTGCTTTCCTCTTTAACTTAGAGTTTACTTGCTTGAAACCTTGTGAGTCAACCCCCAACGAGTTTTCCACTTTGTCTCCAATTCCTTATTTTTCCAACTCCTTATGAACCATATTATCATATGAAGAGTTAAGGAACTGCATATCCTGCCGAAGAACATGATTAGTTTCTGGAACTTCTTCATCAAAATTTCGTTGTGCGTTGTCTATAAAATCTAAATTTTCAATGGAGTCCTCTATTCCACTGACCAAGGCTAGAGTTTTATCAACATCATCAATAACACCTTTTACATCATCCATGCCATTGTCTTCGTCCCTGCTTACACTAGGATCTACAAAACCCATTGGAATCGCATTTTCAACAGGGGTGATTTTACCTTTGTCCTCTCCAATTTTTACAGCAGTGGGCATCACCATAGGTTGTGTATCCAAATTAATAATGTGATCATTTTCCTTAGTTGCATTATCTACAGCCTTCGACCCATGATCCACCTGAACATACATATGTTTCTTACCTTTCTTATGATTGACATTGTCTCCCTTAAACATATCCCCCTCCCTTCGCTTTTTCTGGATCCTATTATCTTTACCATTGTCTTCACGTCTCCATTTGCATTTGTCAAGACAATGACCCATCATGTTACAGTTGCAAAACTTCAGAAGATTTTCGTACTTAAGGTCCACAAAGAATGCATAACCTGTTCTTTCCACCAGAACTTCCTATCTAAGATCAGCATTCAGATCCTAATATACTAATACCCTAATAAAGTGTATAAATGGTCTTTCAAAACTACACTTATTAGACGCTGAATCAGTACACAAAGGAATTCTGACACTACTTGCTATAACAAATACAATCTTAGGACACCAATATTCATGCGACAAGCCATGGATACAAATCTACACTTGTACGGAGGACTGCTTCAACATAGAAGGATTGAAATCTTTTGTCAACAGAAACAACTTAAGGAAACCTAGACTAAGATTCCAAGAAGTGATAGACCTAACACGCCTAACATTCTAAAGTGTAGAAAACGAAAATTCAAAGCACCTTTTACCTAGGGATGTGATGCTCCATTTGCCAATTGATTTTCATAGGTTCAAGAGTTTTGATTTGAGGCTTTGCACCATCTATGACGAAGATCCCTTTGGCCAAATCACCCTACCCTGGAGGTTGTGCTTGCACGCTTCCACTCCCAACATATACTCTTCTTCTGGAATCATAATAGGCAAGCGATCTTCTTTGACACATCGCTTAGATAGCTGACTAACCAGAATATCACACACATTATTCACAACTTTAGAAAAAAATTCAACAATTTGTTAGTACTAACCGAATTTTCCTCGTTCCCTCATCTCTTGTAAAATCCAAAAACTTCCATGAAACAATTAATGCCTTCATAATGAAAATTCCAAAATCAAAATTTAAGTTAAAAAATCGCAGACATTATTCTATAATTATATTGTGTATTTCTTTATCTTATAAATTATATAATATTATTATAAAAAATATATTTTATTGTAGGTACCACCACCATGCCTTCATAATGAAGGAATGGTGTTTATTTTATTTATTTATCAATTTATATATTTAATTTATTTAGAATTTTTTTAATCAATTTTCTAATTTCTTCCTTTATGCATGTTATTTATATTTGACAATTGATTATAATGTTATTAAAATCATGAAAGAATGTTAATAAAGTTGTTTTATTTTATTTTTTAAAATACTTCAATAAAACTTACTCATACCCATTACTCATCATCCTATCCATTAACCTAATCAATTTCAATTTTCCATTCACATCCACTAAATCATTAACACATAAATAAAAACCACTTTCTTTCTTTTTTTAATGCAGTCCCAATTACATGCTAACTATCATATAATTTAAGAAGAAAAAGAAGCATGTTAACTATATGCCATTACCCACTAATACATTATATAAACTATTTATCTTTTCATTGTCAATTTCACAACTCTACAAATTTTTTATTTCTATTATTTATTGACATTTTTTATAAGTGATTGCTTTTATTTATTTATTTTATATAGTTTCTATTTTAAATTTTAAATAGTACTATAAAAATAAAAAAACAACTCGCTTATATTTTAAATTAGAGACATAGTTGATATAAAATTACTTATATCAATATATTTAAAGTTATTATAATTGAGTATGTGTTACTTACTTACTCCTGTGTACTTTTCTTCATCTAGTGAAATATAAGTACAATAATATCAAATCAAGGGTTTTAGGTGGGTGGAAATGAAGCCCAAGTGCCAAACCATAAAGGAAGTTTCTGAACTCAAGACCAGACAATATGTCTCTTTTAGGTGCTATCCTTCCTAAACCAGTGTACCTTTTAATTTGGCATATATGTGTCCATTCTTTTCAATGTGCTTGTTCTTTTTTGGACCATCATTTGTGAATTTTCTTTTACTAGTATACTCCTCATATTTATCATTCATTTCAACAATATATTCTATCTACTATTTTTTAATAGGCATAATTAGTTTTTAGGTCTCTTAAATTTAGACGAAGTTTCGTTTTGATACCCTAACTAAAAAACGTTACGTAATGGTTCTTTAACTTCTCTTCCGTTAAACTATTTTATCAATTTCGTTAGTTTTGATGGAAAAAAAATACTAATTAGGGTTGAATTGATAGACAATTATTCATCTCCTTCCATCTTCTCTTTCTTTATCTTTATTCTCACCTTCAACACATTCATATCAAAACCCATAAAATTTTAAAACAAACCCAATTTTTTTTATCATACACCATCTAACAATTAAACTTAAAAAAAATTTCAATACAAACATAAAATTATTAAATTGCTAATCCATATTGATCTGACCTGATCAGAAGGGGATCACGGGCTGACCACACGCTGTTGGACTGCTGCCTGTTCACCAGTGATGAGAAGGAGAAGGGGGGTGTACCTGCAAGACACTCCGATGTCAAATTAAGGAATTGGGCAGAGTGAGAGCAAAGTACAAAAAGGGCAAGATGTGAATTACCTGACCCTCTTGAGGAAGAGGGTATTTATAGAGAGACCCCAGCGCTGGGCCAACGGTCACTTGCTTTGGGCTGGATTGACAGGCCCAACCCAGGTGACTGCTAGGGCTTACGTGGCGTAGTGACCAGAACGTGGTCTTCGCCCTAGTCCAACTGTCCCGTGATCTCCGGAAAGTGGGTTTGACCTGCTCTTTCGGAGGTGGGCAGTTGGTTAGGTGACGTGTCCCCGCAGAGGGGAGCACGCGGAGAACGTGCGAGGGACACGTCGTTCTGCCCGCGGATGGAGAAGGTCCTGCCCGCGGAGGGCAAGGTCCTGCCCGCGGAGGGTAAGGTCCGCCGAACGGGGAGCCTTCAGCCCGACGTAGTTGGGGCAGACCTTCCTCGCAGGGAGGCCTTTCTGGCTTGTTGGGGACCTCGAGCCCGGACAGGATAGGGCCTGGTGGGACATTATTGGGCTGGGCCCGCGTGGTCAGCCCGGGGCCCAGGCCAGAACAGGAGCCCCCCAAGTCGTTTCTCCGAGGAAGGGAGCGAGGACTTGATGACGTTGTTCCAGGGAAGTGGATTGGCCTGGGGGAAGATCCTTCAATGCAAGCACGCGTGTTCTACGTCGTCGATAGTCCGGGCTTGAAGACGAGTGTTGGCGAGGAGAGGCGAAAGGGCGCGTCTGCCTG